CAGCCGGCTGTATGCGTCAGCAACCGTGTGTGAAAGGTGGTCAATAAAGACATGCTGAAAAGCGTGTTCATGCGGACATCATCAGGTCTGCCGTGATGTGTTTACAATGGGACTTCTGCTCCTGGGACTTCTGCTCCTGGGCCTCTGCACGTGGCGTCTGGGGATCGGGGCTGTGCGAGGTCACTTTCATCTTTGCGCAGGACTGTGGGCTGTCATCTGTGAGGCGTGAGCGGTGTTTATTTTTTTAATATAGTTCACAGTGGAGAATGGCTGCTGACATAATGTGGATCTGAAGATCCATAATTGGCCTACCTGGGGTTGAAAGTCTCGATAAATGCACGGCGTTTCGGCAGGTATACGCGAGTGTGACGCTTATTTTGAACGATGAAAAAATAATAGAATATCATTTTATTTTTATATTTCAATATCACAATAATCTTCCAATTTAGAACTACAAGTTAAAAAAGAACTAAAATAAATAAAATACACTTCAGCTAAATACTTCTAATTTATTTTCCCAAACCACGCAGAGCCGCACTATAAGGACTAAAGAGCTGCATGCGGCTCCGGAGCCGCAGGTTGCCGACCCCTGACCTAGGAGCTCACTGCCATGAGAGACATTTCCTGGTTTATTATAAGGTAGAAAAAGGAGTCCATAATAAAGTCTCTAGAAACAACTAATCAAAAGCTCAGATATCTGACCACTAGGTTTAAGAGAACATCTCGGAGAAACGGACATCACACAACACTAATACAAAAGACCAAACTGCTGCAACCTCCCTGAACAAGAACGAATCAAAAACCCAATGGCAGACATCCAACAACTAGTCTCCAGAATAAAGAGCTGGAAAACAGCAGCACCTGTCATGATCCACATCAATTTATTAAAAAAGCTAACAGCACTGAATCTCTGAATGCCTCACAGCACAAATAAAAGAGATTCTAGCAGCATGTTATCATCCCAATTGCATGATGCAGGGTAGAATAATCCCGATCATAAAGGATAAAGGATTCACGAGAAGGATCTGCACAAGGGTGTAACACCATCAAACTACCAGCCAATTACCTGACTCTGCACAACATGGAAGCTCTTCTCAAGCATCATTGTAACCAAGCTGAGGCATTGGAATAACACCAGGCTCAAAATCCTAGCTACTGGTTGATAGAGCAAGTACAACCGGATTAAGACTAGACAGCCCTGCCTGAGCACTTGGCTACGAGAAAACCTATGCCTCAATAACCAGCTCTAAAACTGGATATGGATATAGAATAGAGCGACCATCAATCACTTCCTGTACATGGATGGCATCAAAGCCATAAATCACCTCACCAGGATCTACAGTGAGGATACTGGAATCATATTCAGACTGGATAAGTATGGCCGATTGGTTGCAAAGAGAGGGAACGTGATCCAGTAAGCCTCCAGGGTGGAGCTGCTAGAAGGCAGAAAATGAACATTCGGGACAGCTTCATGTAATTGGGCATCCCAAAGGCTGATAGGATCAATGATGAAGATGCAAGAAGGTCAGAGCCATAATCTGAGAGTAAACACAGGACATCCATGAATAAACTGAAAGATGATCCCCCAAGAAGAACTGCTCCAATGGTTTCCCAGCCCGCTGAAGACAGCCAGTGATGAGGAACGAGGAGGAACTCATGGAAGCCCAAGGTCTGCAGGCGAGGGTCCTTTGACACATAGACAATGTGGCTGACATCAAGAAATCCTACTAGTGACTAGAAAACGCCAGGTTAAAGCACAGACACTCTGATTATAGGAGCACAAGAACAGGTCCTAAGCACCCAATCCATACAGACAGGAGAATAGAAGCTGTAACAGCATACACTGAGACTCACAACCAAATGGCTGGGATAGTTTACGGGAACATTTGTGCCACATATGGATTAGACATCCCCAATACCTATACCTACACCCAATACCAGATGCCAAAGATGGCTAATCAGGGCCAAGGTCCTGTAGGACTGCTGGTGCACCCAGCAGACATAGTGAACAGAAGACTGCAGTTGTCATGTAGCAATTTCAGTAGACAGGAACACAAAGAAGGAGCACAAGAAAACAGTAGTACAGTACCAGTGGCCGTGCAGCTACAGTCACCTCCACCCCTTCTTTCTCTTTCTTGCAGGCTGTTGTTTTTTCAGTTCAATGTTGACTTCTGATTCCTGCTGGGCTCATCAGTGCTTTTCTTTTAATAAAATAGGCCTTTCAGACGTTTTTTTACATAATACAAACCTCTCTGGTGGCTGTTCTGCTCTGTATATTACTAACTCACAAAGGAAGATAGCTTAGTCAAGTCGAGCAGTATTATGTGGCTAAATTAGCATTTTTAAGTAAGAGAAGAGCAGCAGTTTCAGTTAAGTCTCTTTCAATGGTTGCCGCTCAAAAATCTAATTAGTGCTCATTATTGTCCTCTTAAAATGAGTGTTCTTATGAGAATGTGCTTATGTGATTAAAGTGCTGGGGGCTCAGCTGGGCCTTGGACTGACTTACTTTTTGTTATTTTGCTTCCCAAATCCCATTATGGTTTCTCCTTTGCTCTACCACAGTTGTTTTAAACAAAAAGTAGTGATGACTCTACAATTAATACCACAGGACTAATGAGACATGATTAATTCTACATTGTGCATGCTGCAGGAACACCATCTTGTTTCCCTATAGCCTTAATTACAGAGAAATAAATAAGGGGGGGGGGGGGGGGTTCCTCATGTAATCAGTATCTTCTTTGTCAAAATGTAATCTAAATGGTAATTGTTTATCCTCTCTCACACAAAAAGCAACAACTCATACTCGATACAAAAGCATAGTATTCTGTTCAGTCAGAAATTATCCATAGTGTGTTTGCGTTTCAGCCTCCGGAGATATGCAGTGCTGTCACTGAATAACAAGATTCTTTTTGCTCCATTGATCTCAAGCTGTGTACTTCCACTATCAGACATGGCTGTGTTAAGCTTTGGCTGCAATAATCCCTGTATTTACAAAGTCATTCTCATGTTGAGAGCTTTGCTCTGTTCATGGCCACTGAGCTGTTGACTTCAGGCTTTATTCATGCAACAGTGTAATGGACTCCAATGGGAAATACATGTAACTTTATTTAAAGATCAGTAACTACACTGGGACAAAACCAACTGGTGGTATTCATCTTTACACTGCTCACAAAGACATATGACAATACATAAGACAAATGCAACACAAATTGTGTTGCTTAACATAAAAAGCTAACTCAACTCAGTTCACATTTGAGCCGTCATAGGGTGAGAGTCTGGGTACACCAGACTAGCACACCTGCATTCAATTCAGAATATCCAGTTAAGCTAACAAGCTAACAGCTAAGCTAACAGTAAAGCTAACAAGCATATCTATGGACTGTAATGGCAAGCTGGAGTATCTTGCAAGAACCTATGGGGGTATAGCAAAAACACTTACACTCCACACAGAAAGGTTTAAACCTAAGACCTATTCTCTAAGGTAAGACTACTTTGCCAGGTTATATCTTTGAATTTTTTTAAATTAATCTAAGAAAAAGGTGTTTTTGAAAGCAACTGTTCATTCATTTATACTCAGATTGATGCTGTTCCGAGCTGTTGAATTGTTCCAGTTTGTGAGAAAATGAAAAGAATTGGGACTCTGCCAAGACTCTGTATTTATTTGTTTTGATTTTCAATAAATAGAGATTAAACAATTTTAGTTTTAGTTTTTATTTATTTATTTCTAAAATCTTTGTTGTCATCCACAATAACTATACTGATATTGTATTGTGTACTGTGTGTGTATGTGTGTGTGTGTGTGTGTGTTTACTACCGTAAAGCCAAAAGTGGACATTGCTACATGTGTGACTTCCTTGCAACATGGGCACTTAAAATGTTGCGTTCACTGACAAACTCCTCTTGTTTTCCCTACAAGTGAAACCCGGACAACTAATTACACCAAAACTGCTTTCCTTATTCATTTATTTATTCATTCATTCATTCCTATGACGTATTCATGAATTAATTTGGTAGGTGAGTCATCAATGTAATACTAGATCACTGTCAATAGCATCAATTTGCAAGCAGGATATGACAGCGTACCTCTGTGATGCGGTTATTTTAATGTGTCACGGAGAAACTTTCAGTATCGGCTAAATGACAACCTTGTTTCTGCTGCTTCTAGCTGTGACTGTGGATAATTAGTTGGTGCAGTCTGTGGGTAGTGGCGCACTGAAGTGATGTTCAGTGGGTTGATGATCGCTCTCTGGTCTCTTCTAAAGCTCGGTTTTATGTGAACTGCCAGTCCACTGCTATGACTTTCATCTGTCCATTTCTGCATTCTCCATGCTCTCAGCGCTCTCCCTCTTGTACATGTGCATGAACACTTGAAGTAATTTTTTGGGGTGTGATACCTACTGAATATAATTGACAGATCAGAAATATGTTAATATGAAGAAGTGGACGTTCCAAATAACCCCATGTATGTCTGCATACAAATCACAAGGAAACAGTAATTATCTGAAATATAAGATCTCACACTTTCAAGCACAGTTTTTATTCCGCTGAAACAATTTCT